AAACAAACGGCCACTTCCTCCAATCAGGAAGAGGTGATAAACCCGCTCCCGAGAGGGAACGCCTATTAAACCCAAGGGAGAGCGTGCACAAGACCATTTTTCCTCGTGCACGCTCTGTTTAAAAGTTGCTGTTTGCATCGCTCATACAAGCTTACTGTCCTAAAGGAGATTTGCAATTTTTCCAAGATGTCAGACCCACCACCGGTAAGTGAACATGCGGACAAAACGTAGGATGACCTTACGTAAACATATGACCAGAATGATTGACAATTAGGAGGACCAATTATTTTGATGATCAACCCAAAAAAAAGAACATCCTCTATTATAACCTATAAGATGAGGTGGCTTTTTTTATTAGCTAATCTGCACAGGAGAGCAGCCTCTCTATTTTAGCTAATTTCTAAGTTAGGAAAATCGTAGGTCTACAACTTTTTTAACCTTCAGAAATTTGTGATGTAATGAAACGGAGGAACCCAGACAGGAGAGCTGGCTTCGCTTTAAAGGCAAGTATTTTTCTTTGGGGCTGGAAGGAAGCATCTATATTTCATAAATTAATACCTAAGTAATGGTTAAGGCATGACTTTGAAAGGCTTAAACAATGCCTGATGAAGGAGTTTTGAGTTGCAGCTGTTGTGAGCTGTATGGTCAGAGTCTTTCTGCACTGTGGTCAATCCCCATGTCAAAATTAAACCTGTAACTCTGATAAAACCCAGTTTTTACTCTTGAGGTGCGTTCTTGTTATTGGAAGGGCTTTTAATGAATGTGGCGTTTCTCTCCAGAGTTACAGGCCTCCTTCCAGTCGACTGATTGAGTTCGCTTAGGTCCACTCCTGAGTCCAAACTGGTTTCTCGACTCTCCATGGGCCTCCGTCTCCTCTGCTGCTCCGACACGGCGTACCGGATCTCTGCGGCTGGTTTTCCCTCCAGGGAGACGAACCAGGCCCGTGGAGGCTGAGGAGAAGGGATTTTAGATAAACCTGTGATGGCGTGGACAGAATGTCTGCTTCCAGCCAGTTTATTCAGCGTTCCTGGTACCGAGGCCGACTCTGGGAGGTTGAAGGGCATTCTGGATGTGTTAGATGGTCCTGGAGAGCCCTCAGAACTTTGGAGCTGGTCCTCGGTGTGGAAAGTCTGGGTGAAGCTTTCTTTCCTCTGAGGCTCTGCTGCAGCTCCGTTTGAAGCTCCGACCCGTGGCAGAGTGGCTGACCTGCTCCAATCGGCCTGCTCCGGATGTTCCTCCAAGTGAAAAAATGCTGGAGCAGGAAGGATGGCCAAAGGTTGGTTGTAGAAGAACAAACCATTTGGGTGACATGAAGGGACTGGAGTTTGTTCTGAGGTCATATTAATAACGTCCAGCGTGTTACACTCTGATGGAACCGCTGCAGCGCCAAGGTTGGCGATCACCTCTCCGCTCTTCATTGCAAGGAAGGAATCGAGGCACCGGTTTGAACGTTGGTTCTCTCCATCAGCATGCTGTAAGGCTGAGGATGCCTCAGACTCCTCGTCATGAACTGTGGAGGTGGTTTGGTCTTTTCTCATCACTGTTGACGCCTTTCTAGTTTTGTTTTTAAAGATTTTCCTTCTGCAAATAAAAAAGAGGCTTATTAAGATTTCTTAAAGCTTGTATTTTCAATAACTGACTCTTGAAAGAAATGTAAAGGAAATACATCACTGTACAAAAATCTTAATCTAATCTAATAATCTTGCAATTGTCTGCATTTTCCTAACCTGACTCCGCCAGATGGATTTGCTCTGCATGGAAACCTTCCGTTGAAGTAATTTTGGGAAGGGGCAAAAATACTGGTTAGCTGATT